CATTGACAGGTGAAAAAGGGTATCTTAGTACAGTTTTATCTTGAATTTCTCTTATTATAAGTGAGGTTGAGCATTTTTGTTTTTACTTTTCTGTAATATTTATCCATATTCTATTTGTATGCTTATTTTTCTATTTGGTTGTTGACTTTTTTATTTGTAGGAACTCCTTATATATTAAAGAAATCAGGCACCCTTTTTACAATAGGAATTGCTAATATTTTCTCACAAGGGCTCAAGGACCTGGAAGATAATTTGATAGCATTTTTAAAAATTAAAAATACATTCTACCCAGGAATTTAGTTTGTGGTATTTTTCCAGTAGATATATTCACACATATGGAAAATGACTTAGAAGCAAGAGTTTTGACTGCAGAATTGCTTGTAAATAGTAAGATTGGAGGCAACCTAAATGTTCATCAGTGAGATCCAGTGAAATAAATCATGATTTACGCATTTGGTGGAATATTATGCAGCCATATATGAAGAATGAGACAGTTCTAAATGTACTGATAAGGAAAGATCTCTATGACATATTTTTTAAGTTAAAACAGAAGTTGCAGAAAAGTGTATACTGTAATTATTCAAAATAAAAACTAAAACTATATATGCAATCAATTTATGCATTAGAACATTATGCAATAAACTGGTAAGATGGATTGCTTCTGGAATACAGTAGCTGGGGAGCAGGTGTGGAAGGTATATGCCTTTTCTTTTTGTAACCACTTTATTGATATATAATTTATATACTATGAAATTCACCAATATTAACTGTATAATTCAATGAATTTTAGTATAGTTAGTATATTGTACAACTATCACTACAATCTAGTTTTAGAATATTTCCATTAGCCGAAAAAAAAAACCTGGGTCCATTTATAATTAGTCCCCATTTTCACTCTCAGCCTTAGGCAACCATTAATCTGTTTACTGTCTGTCTATATTTGCCCTTTCTGGGCATTTTTTTTTTTAAAGATTTTATTTATTTATTTGAGAGAGAGAGCACAAGAGGGGGGAGCGGGAGAGGGAGAAGCAGACTCCCTGCTGAGCAGGTAGCCCGATGCGGGACTCGATCCGGGGACTCCAGGATCATGACCTGAGCCGAAGGCAGTCGCTTAACCAACTAAGCCACCCAGGCGCCCGCCCTTTCTGGGCATTTTATATATGCTTTTATATCTTTTGAATTAACTTTCCCTATTTTGAATTTATATCACCTATTCAAAAATACATACCAAAAAACCTGATCTAATTGATCATATTATTATTCCTCTTCTCATAAGAAGAAACTGCTTTATGAAAAAGTTAAAGGAAGTCGTTGGTACTACAAGCCGATGAGAGGTGGAGATAGGAATAAAATCAAAACATTATGAACAAGGGGCGCCTGGGTGGCTCAGTTGGTTAAGCGACTGCCTTCGGCTCAGGTCATGATCCTGGAGTCCCGGGATCGAGTCCCGCATCGGGCTCCCTGCTCGGCAGGGAGTCTGCTTTTCCCTCTGACCCTCCTCCCTCTCATGCTCTCTGTCTCTCATTCTCTCTCTCTCAAATAAAAAAAAACAAAAAACAAAAACCAAAACATTATGAACAAGATCCTATTTCCTACTTTTATTGCATCCTTTAGATCTCATTTTGACTTAGCATACACTGAAATTTAGATTTAATCATTGTTCACATAAGTGTAAATCTCTGTAAAAGGTCAAAACATTTACCACTCAGAAGGGAAAGAACAAATCATTACACTGAAAAAAGATATGGGTATGAAAATAATATTCTACAGGCACTTCACTTTTTATTGCCTTATTTTGTTAGGAATCCATAAACACTAATATAATCTTGTCATATATTAAAAAGGCTGGCCATCTGCTAATGTTGAGATTAATAATCTGCCCCATGGTTCACTCATAAATTCATACAAATTTAGATTTGGATGAGGTTTCAGAAATTTATCTATGACATCTTCCCAGATTTATTCCACTAGATACCAGCCAATCTAATTACTTCAGTGACATGTTTAACCTTTGTGAAAATCTCTATATAGATATCTTTATACCAATATTGTTGGCTGTTAACAATCCAAGAGCTAAATTTGTTACTGGTTTCTTGTCAAGTGAATAATAATAGTTAATAACAAAAATGATAAGTATGATGATAGAACCCTTTACTGAATATTTACTGTAACCCATCACTGAACTAGAGGGGTGTTTTACATACATTAAGGCATTTAGACTTCAGAACCGTCTAGGATGCAGGCCCTATTTTTAATCCCATTTTCATTTTCAGTAAAGTAATCCCATTATTTTCAGTAATGGAAACTTTTTCCTGGAGAGGTTAATGAACATGCCTAATGTCACACAGCTGCTAAATGAAAGAGCTCAAATTTGAACCCAGTTTTTAATCAACATGCTTTTGTGGTATACGTTGCTGCATTAGCCTCATTCCTGACTCCATATTATACTTTTGTCCTTTTGCCTTATTCCCTCTCATTTGACTTTGTTATTTCATCTGATATTTTATATGACTTCATTTGTAAAGAATCTTAAATTTTTTCTAGATGGTGATGGGTTTAAATAAGCAAGCATATTGACTATTGCTTGTTCATAGTCTTGTACTTTATTAGGAGAAAAAAAATAAAGAAAAACATGTTTTTGTGAATACTGTCATTTCTTTTGGCACCTAAGGATAGGCTTCCCCTCAGGAGAGAGTTTGTCTTTGCCAATAGATCAATATTGATTGAGTCGATGTGGAGAATACAGAAAATTATGCTAGAGTTCCTGCCCTTTGGGAGCTTACATATTGTTGAGGGAAAATGCATGTACAAAACCACAAACAGGTGAAAAGTGATTATTAATGGCATATAATGGGTCCTTTATGTACTGTAAGTCAATGGTGAAGGCAAAGGAAAGGCACTGTTGGAAATAGATACTTTTAAGGATTGCCAATCCCTGAGGTAAGTCAAGAATTTTTAACATTTGTGTGCTTTGAAGAGTTCTATAGCAAAATACTTGGACAAGGTGCTCTTTCAGTTCTGTCTGCCTTAAAAATAATATAATTTTATGAATTATACAGAAAGTACCATTTAGTACAGTGAAATTCCCGTTAGTAATGGGGTAAGAGGGTTGCATCAAGGATGTATAGGAAAACCAAACTGGGCACTGAGAGTAACTGGAGAAATATAGGGAATATTTTTCGTTTCTCAGGATTTTAAGTACATTTGTGTTTGTGTTGTGGTTGGGGGTGATGGGCGGAGAAGAGGGTCAATTGCTGGCAAAGCAGTCACCCACTGAGCGAATTTCTGCCAAATGGATGCTTGTTCAAACTTTGTTGAACCTCTGAAAAACAAGTTAAAGAAAAGGTCCAATATGGTATTAGAATTAAAATGGAGACCGTGAGATACACGGAAAAGAGCGTCAGTTTGTGTAGCCCATTTTAATGTTCCTTTCCTCTCTAACCAATGGTGAAGACTGAGGTACCACTCTCATCCCCACTTTCCCTTTCAAGCCCCCAAATGGTAGATCCTAATTTATCCTAGCATTTTTCATAACTACTCTTCACCACATGGCTCAACCAGTCTTCTCTTCCATCCAGGGCATTGTGACTATTTCCTACAGGTGCGCACTAATCATCAGCTGAGGTGAGAATCACATTTTCCTCCAGTTGGCGTGGAACTACAAGTGTCTGGAAGCAAAAGCCTAGGTTTCAGTCTGATATCCAATAAGCAGTGGTCTAATTTAATGGGGATAAAGGTGTTTTGTTTTTCGTATCTGTTTTTGTTTTAGAGGATGGAGCGGGTCTGCAAATAAAAGATGCCGTAAGAGGAAAGCTATAAAATAGTTTTTCCTTGGCCCGAGTGGGTCGAGGGTAGCCAAGTTGGGACCTGGGTTGGAGCGAAAAGTGGAGGCTGCCTGGGAACACTCCTACGGTCCCGGGACCGCCCTGCTGAGGTGCAGGGCAGTGGGTGTGGAGGGTTGAGAGGTGCACCACCCACGCCTCCCAAGAAGGACATCAGGGACTTCTCAGAGGACCGTGCAGAAGGAAGCCAGGCCGCCGCACTGCACAGCAGCAGGTCCGCGCCCGGAGGGCGGAGGGCGGAGGGCGGAGGGCGGAGGGCTCCAGGCGCGCGGCGGCGCGGAGGAAGCGACGGCGGCAGCGCCCACTCCCCCTCGTCCCCGTGCCCCGCCGCTCGCCTCCCGCAGCCGGGCGCCGGCGCGCTCGGCTCTTTCCGCCGCCGCCGCTGCCGCGCGCTGCCCCGTGCGCTCCGGCACCTTCGGCAATTTCCGTCGGGCCCTGGCCGCCATTTTCTCGCCGCTTGTGTGTCTCGCAGGCTGCGTGGCTCGGTTCTTGTGAGCGAAGCTTTGTCCGGTTCGGCAATGGACGGGTATGTAATGGGGCCGGCGAGGAGGTGTGTGAGAGGGGAGTTGGACGGTCCTTCGGCCCGGCCCGGGGTCGGCCAGAAACCCTCCGGCGGCCCCTCCCAGGGCTGGGCTGCCGTTACCCAACCCCCGCCCCATCGCACACACCCCTCCCTTCGCTTCCCCCGGCGGGCTCCGGTCGAGAAAATGAGAAAGAAAGCGGGCTTGTAGACAGGAGGGGCATTGGGGCGATGGCGGGGGTGGCGGCCCCGGAGGGGGAGCGGGTACGGGCTTGGCGGCGGGGGATGGGGTGGGAACCCCAGAACGTCTGGCCCGTCCCTGCCCCCTCTAGGAGCCATTTCGATCCGTAAGCTGGGACCCGACCCCTGGTTAGCCGCGCCTGTGGAAGCGAGTGTCGTGCCAACCTGGGGGGGGGGTTGCTAGGGGAGAGAAGAGCGGCATCTGTGTGCACCCCAGCCGTCCCCAGCCTCCCCGGCCTCGCCTGGCCCGCCCTGGCTGGGGGAGATGCCGGTGGCGGGAGCTGGGGGGAAGCTAAGTGGGAGCCGCTGGGGAAGGCGGGGGTGGGGGGTGGGGAGGGCTGCGGCGGCGGGAGGAAGGGGGAAGGCAGATGTCATACTCCTTTGTTTTCAGTTGAGTCTGGTAGTGGGGGTGGGAGACAGAAAAAATGCCTTTTTGTGGGGGCCTAAATATTCAAGGCTTGGCAAGAGGGCCCAGAAATTAAATCATCTGAAAAACCAAGTGTTTGTGGTCGACATCAGTCACATGGGCAAAGGCCAACAGCCATGGCAGAAACAAGAGCAGTTAGTCAACACAGGGCCATTTTTTTAAGCCACTTTGACCAGTTTCTGGAAAAACAAAAACAGCTGCAAAAAGCTACAGAACCGTGCTGCATCTTTGAGAGCCCGAGTGGAGATAGAATGCTGAGTGAGGTGAGGCGAGGGCTTTGGGAAATAAGTGACTCGGACCGGGTCTCCCCGGTACTTAATGCGCTACATCTGAAAAGACTCGTAATGATTTAACTAATTGTTGGAAAAGAGGCACCCTTGAGGGCGAAAATACAGCTGTATTCAGCCCTTCTGGGGGTATAAAAACTCTCATTTAAAAAGCACATTTATTAGAATCAGTGACAAAATATGAAGAGCCAAATAAAATACGAGTTTATCTTGATTAAGTGTTTGGAGTTTAGTGTTTGGGGTTTTTTTTTGGGGGGGGGAGTTTAGTGTTTTTAAAAGATACTAAGGGAAGACCTTATCAAAGTTAACAAAGTAACAAAACTTAAATTATCCTAGAGATTGTTTTCCCCATGAAACATAGATCTGGAGAAGTTTACTGTTTCACCAGATAAACATGGAAATTGATGACAAAACTTAGTAGTGGAATTAATGTTTCCTAATTCTATCAAGATAACTAAAGAGTTGGTTTAAGTTTTAAATTATTAATCTAAGTGTACAAGCTTTGCCGAAATGGCATTATACTGCTTGGGGTTTTGTTCTTTATATTTAAAGGGTTGTTTAAAAAATACCGGAAGTTTAGTGAATATCTCAAGTTTGAAAGCAATTTCTAGAAAACCGAGTTGAAAATAGTACAAAGAAGTGTCCACTGACAGTCTATGTATTTGTTTTCCATTTGCATGGTGAGTGGAGGATTTATGAATGATGAACTACCCTAAAAAGTTTTAGAGTCCAACAATGATCATTAGAAAAATAATGAGGTTGAAACTATTTTTTTCTTTACAGAATTGTCACTGAGGTTGCAGTTGGCGTGAAGGTAGGAAAAAATTGGAACTGATGAAAACTGAATTGCTGAATCTACTGTTACCATTAATGAAAATTTTCAGTTAGCTTTTGAAAGTTACAGTTAACAAAAGTGTAAAGTGTTTTGTTGAATTTTAAAAGTTGGGTTATATAGTTTATAATCTATATAGACAAAAACTAAGTTTTTCTAGAAAGGCAGTCTGTGAGAACATTTTAAAGTAGGTATGAATGCTGTTCAGGGTTGAAAAATGTTTTCAGACATGGCTTTTTGTGACTATAAATGATATCCCAATTTTCTGAGGGGAAATTATGGTTTTAAATGGACAGGTAAGTGATTTGACCTAATCATGCAATTCTATTAATCTGAGATTTTTTTTTCTTTTGATTATGAATACTAAAATACGTATTTCGGTAATGAGCCACATTAGAAATCAGTTATCTTGATACTTAACTTGTTTAGGCAATTAGCTTTAAATTAGAGTCAGAAGTTAAGGGCTGGTTTGTCTTTCCATTAAAGGAAAATAGGCTTTATGGTAGAGATCATTTGGAATCTTTCCTCACTTTTTGGCCAGGAAAACTCCTTTAGACCTGCTTAGGCTTTTTATTTCCTGGAGTTCTTGCTTATTTTAACAGTGTGATATGTTAAAAATTTTTTTGCAAACCTGTCTACCTTGTTGGGGCATGGTCCTTGTCTTCTGTTTTTTTTAAGTTTTTCAAACCTAGCACATCTCCCAGGCCTCATACACAAATACTTGTTGATGGAATGACATTTCCCCCTTTCAAGTGTGAGTAGTCTTGAGAGGCTGTGTCCTTAGTGTAGTGATGGTGACTATTTACAATATTTTTTAGAATTCTTAAAATTTCATCCACAACAGTGTGAAATTCTTTAGAATACTTTAGGAGCTATTTTGTTTTTTCATGTTCTATGCACTAGAAGTTTGTCCATACTTTAGTATTTAGGCTTATTTTTTGAGTTCATATTACATAGATCGGGGGAGAAATAGTGAGCCTTTTCTAGGGAAGGTATTCTTATTTGGCAATGATACTTTCTAAGTTGAGGTAGTTGCAGGATTTGAAATCAGGAATAGGTCAAGAGTGCAAGATACAGAATGTATAGTTACCATCCAAATAGGTATCCTCTGGAATTTTGTAAAAGAAAGAATGATACAAGTCTGAGTTGTCCACTGTTAGTGGATGAGGAGAGAAGGACCTTAGACAAGAGGGGAGAGAAAGGAGAAGACAAAGAATTGGATGTCCAGGTATGGTTTATTGGTTTTACCAGTTTTCTGTATTAGTAGTTAGAGGAGAAAAAATTGGAAAATGATGTAAAAATAATTGCCAACCTTTTTTTTAATCCATTGTTTAATATAAAAATTTGAATAACTGAAGTTTCATTTTATGAACTTATTCTGAGATAGTGGTTAAGAATTTTTGCTTGGGAGTCATGCCTGTGTACGAGTAATTAAGTTTTTGTATGTATATATTTTTTAATGTGCATGGTTAAAAAAATTCATAGTGGTAAGTATTTCTCCGAGTCCTAGTCCTATTTCTCAGGTGTAGGTGATTATGTTAAATTTTTTCTGGTGCATTTTTTTCCTGAAGTGTTATTAGTTTGTATATTATCAAACATTAGCATCCTAGCTTATTTATACAAATGGGTTCATACCACGTGTAGTGGCCGACATCTTGCCTTTTTAAAAAAATAGCTTTATTGAGATAAAATTTGACTTAAAGTAAACTGCGCATATCTAAAGTGTACAGTTTTTTGATATATGAATAGACCTATGAGACCATTACCACAGCAAAGATAATGAGCATCCATCACCCCCAAAAGTATTGTTTTGCCTTTTTGTAATCCCTGCCTTCTGCCTTTCTTTCCTCAAGCAACCATTGCTTTCTGTCACTATAGGTTAGTTTGCATTTTTTAGAATTTTAAATGAATCAAAATGTACCCTTTTTGTTTGTTTGTTTTTTGGTCTTATTTCACTCTGTAATTATTTTGAGATTTACCCATGTTGTTTATCAATAGTCTATTCCTTTTTCTTTGCTTAGTAATATTACATTTTATGGATATACAGCAATTTGTTTATCCATTCAACTCTTGATGGGCATTTGGGTTGTTTCCAGTTTTTTGACTATTGTAAATAAAGCTACTGTGAACATACTTGTAAAAATCTTTGTGTGAACTTTCATTTCTCTTGGGGAAATACCTTTGGTTGGAATAGCTGGATCATATGGTAGGCATATGCTTTTTAACTTTTTAAAGTTTTAAGAAACTACAGACCATTTTCCAAAGTGGTTGTACTATTTTTACCTTGACACCAGTAGGGTATGAGATTTCCAGTCCTTCCATATTCTCTCCAATGCCTGTGATTATAGACATTCTGGTAGGTGTGAAGTGTTAATCTCCTTGTGGTTTTAATTTGCATTTCTCTAAGGTCTGTGATGTTAATTATCTTTTCATGTGCTTTTTGCCAGCTGTATATCATCTTGGGTGACCTGTCTCTATATCTCTTGCCCACTTTTTAAATTGGGTTACTGTTGAGTTTTAAGAGGTCTTCATTCTGGTTGTTATAAGTCCTTTATCAGATATATGGTTAATATTTTCTATTTGTGTTCACTTTCTCAATAGTGTCTTTTGAAGAACAGCAGTTTTTAATTCTAATCAACTGAAGTTTACCAATTTTATCTTGTATGTCTCATGCTTTTGGTGTCATACCTAAGCCATCTTTGCGTAACCCAAGGTCACAAAGATTTTCTCCTTTGATTTCTAATAGAAGTTTTAGTTTTTGGTTATCTATTTAAGTTTTTTTGAGTTAATTTTTTTTTAATATGATGCAAAATATGTCAACATACTTTGTTTTGGGGTATGGACTTAAACTTTTTTCAGGACCAGTGGTTGAAAAGGCTGTCCTTTGTTCATTGAATTGGCTTTGCACCTTTGTCAAAAATCAACTATCTATGTATGATTCTATTTCTGTACTGTATCCTTTTCCATTGATCCATTTTTGTCCTTGTAGATGCCAAAAACATACTGTCTTAATTACTATGATTTTATATTAATCTTGAAATCAAGCAGTCGTGGTCCTCTTTGTTCTTTTTCAAAGTTGTTTTGGCTCTCCCCATATCCTTCTTTAAATGAGTCAGTTTCTACAAAGAAGCTTGCTGGGATTTTATTGGAATTAACTTGAATGTATAAAGGAACTTGAGGTAAATTGGCATCCTAACAATCTTGAGTTTTCCCACTCATGAACACAATTTAACTTTCCATTTACCTAGATCTCCTTTTAATTTTTCTCAGCAGTGTTTTCAAAGTACAGTTTTTGTGCATTTCTGTCAGATTTATCCCTATTTCGTGTTTTTTGGTGCAGTTGTAAAATGTTATAAAAATCTCAGTTTCTAGTGGTTATTGGTGCAAAGAAATACAAATATTTTTGCATGTTCTTGTATTCTTTACTCTTGCCAAATTCACTTGTTAGATCTAATAGCTTTTTTGTAGATATCATCAGATTTTCTATACACACCGTTTATCTTACTCATTTCCTAACTGGATACCATTTTTTTTCCTGCCTGTGGCATCTAGTACAGTGCTGAATAGAAGTGATGAGAGCAAGCATCTTTACTTTGTTCCTGATATCAGGGTGAAACCCTAAATGATACTATTTCTTTCTTAAATGTTTGGAGGCAATTCGCCAGTGAAGTTGTGTGGACCTGATGTTTGTTTTCTTTGTGGAAGTTTTAAATGACACTTTTAATTTATTTAACTAGATATAGGACTATTTGGGTTTTCTATTTCTTCTTAAGTGAACTTTGGTAATTTGTACCTTCCATAGAATTAGTCCATTTCATCCAAGTTACTGAGTTTATTTGCATAAAATTGTTTATGATATTAACCTTTTTACACTGTTGATATCTGTAGACTCTATAGTGATGTCACTTCTCTCATTCCTGATACTGATAATTTGTCTTTTTTTTTCCTTGTCACTTTAGCTAGAGATTAATTTATTAATATTCTCCAAAAATCAGCTTTTGGTTTCACAGAGTTTTTGGTTTCCTATTTTAATGATATCTGCTGTTTTAGTTTTCTTCTGCTTGGCATTTCTTCTTTTTCAACTTAGTTATGTTGAAGCTGATATCATTGACATACCTTTTCTAATATAGAGGCTTAGTGCTATGTATTTCCCTTTTAAGTACAGCTTTCGTGGCATCTCTCAAATTTTGACATTCACACTTCTTTTTATTCAGTTCACACACATTCTGGTATACTTTTTTGACCCCTGTGTTATTCAGAAGTATGTTATTTATTGCCAAATATTTGGAGTTTTCCATAGATGTTCCTGTTGTTCTAATTTAATTTCATTGTAGCTAGAGAACATATTTAAGAACATATTTTAAGACATATTTAAGACATAAAACTCAAGATTGTTAGGATGCCAATTTACCTCAAGTTCCTTTATACATTCAAGTTAATTCCAATAAAATCCCAGCAAGCTTCTTTGTAGAAACTGACTCATTTAAATTTGTTGAGACTTGTTTTATGACCCAAATATATATCTTAAGTTTTCTGTGTATTTTATAGGGATGTATATTCTGCTGTTAAAGTGATTTCTGTCCTTCCTGATTTTTTTATTGTGCTAGCACATTGAGAGAAGGATATTGAAATCTCTTTTACTTGTGCATATGTCTGTTTCTGCTTGCACTTCTACCAGTTTTTGTTTTATTTACTAATTTTTTTTGAAGTTTATGGTTAGTACATAAACGTTTAGGATTACTATGTCCTTTTTGTGCATTGACTCCTTTTTTTTATTATGTAGTGATCATTTTTATCCCTGGTAATATTCTTTGCTTTAAAATCTACTTTTTATGATATTGGTATACCCATCTTGGCTTTCTCTTGAATAGAGTTCACATGATACATCTTTTTCCATTCTTTCACTTTCAACCTATTTGTGTCCTTAGATTTAAAATGTGTTTTTTGTATATAGCATAAAGTTGGAATTTGATTTTTACATC